TTGCCAAAAAGTGATTACAGGCGCCAATCAGTTTTCGGCAGACGATCAATTTTCGGCACGACACCGGCACTTCTTTTTTTCCACTTCAAGCATTGTAGGCTATACAATCAATAACATCACTGTAATCAGAAACAAATATTCAATAACTTCACTGTAACACTGTACTGTCACCAAACTCAGTTCACACATCAGTGCTCTCCTGCTGGTTACACTACAGCACTTAGATTGATCAAAATGGCTTTTTCATAATTTTTATGATTTTTTTATTCCGAAATACAATCAATAACTTCACTGTAATTAGAAAAAAATACTCACTTCCCAATACAAACACGCCCCATAGTACAGTCCCACCCCTGTCCCCTGACACTGATTGGCAGGTTTCCGTGTAAGGCATCGGAAATTCAAATGCTCAAGGAATTTCGATTCCATTTGAGTTTTGGCATGTGCGACGCAGGGAGAGTGAAAAAGCAGTGGTAATTAATATTGCTATTGACAGGCTCATAACTCGTTAGACATGGGAAATACAGTTGCCAATGGACTTTGCTTTTCCATTTGAAATTCACTGTCACTGTGCCCACAAACGGTAATGCAAGATTTGCAATTGCGTTTGGATTATGTCACTATTTATGCGTCCACATATGGGAAACGCAATTGAAAATACAATTTGCAATTCCTTTTGAAAATAGTCTGGAATATCCTTCCATCAAGGTGAAAGACAAAAATACAGTTTTTTCAATGGATTGTGCAGTTGTTCAAAAACATATTGATTATTCAGCTTTTCAAAAGACAGATCGAAAGTTGTGAATTTTGAAGATTACATTAGATTTAGGATCTTTATACAGTGCGTGCCAAATCTATCCTTCACAGAGCATTATTTTCATTTGCGTCAAATTCAGTACCTCTAGCCAGACTAAGGTGTGTCTCTAGATGTTAAATCATGGACGAGTTACATGGTTTAGTTACACTTTTAGTGGGGTTATACTTTTTTTTCCCCAAATCCTTAAAACCTTAAAAAAAGGAATAAACTATAGTTATAATGATGCTGGCCTTAGTATAAGTTCTCACATTCAGATACTGACATCCTGTCACAGATTCACAGTCTGAATAGTGTCTGATATGCCCTTATTTTTCCTCTTGTCAAATCTTATGACTCATCCCCCTCATTACCCAATCAGATCACTAGCTGCACCAGGCTGCCAAGGTCCCCGCTGACATCCCCTTGGTTTGTGATGGAAATAGCATGCTTGTCTCTTAGCAGTGTGTGAATTCACTGATCTAATAACAGTGCTGGTGTTGCTCAGACCTCTGCTTCTACCTGATGTGCCTCTTGCTTATTTTGTGAGACCCGGGGCCAGTTGCATAAACGTAGCCTCTATGTTAAGACAGTGTCTTAAGAACTAGTCCGAGCAATTAGCAGTTAATAAATGATAACCAGCCTTAAAGAAAAAAAAATTAGATGACTAACTTTTAAGACTATTCTAGTCTAAATCTTTTATGCAACCAGCCACTGTGATAAGGCTCCTGCAAATGAATTCTGTTCAGTGATTGTCCAAGAATTAACTGATGATTGGATTTGATCAGATTTTTCTAGGCAAGTGAGAACATTTGAATATCTTACAGCATGGCACCATTCAAAAACGTATA